AAAATGGCCAGTTTCAATATAAGCTTAAGCTTAAATGAAAGGCAAAGTAGCTCTGACAAAAAGCACAGCAAAAGCTTACGTCTTGTTCTGTATACCCTTTCCGCTGTTGTTTTGCCGGCTCTCTACCGTTTTCTTTATCGACAGTGAAACAAACGAAACTATTCCACTCCATTTCCGAAATGTTTTTCACTTTTATAGCGAGAAAAACTCTTTGAGTAAAACTTTTCTTGTTGAATGTGTGCCAAGTGGCACTGCAAGCTGCAATAAAAGGCGGGAATTTTGGCGCGAAACTCACACACCTCTGTGACTTCTGATTGGACGTATCATTTTTCTCACGTGAAAAAACATCATTCGCGATTCTGATTGGACGTATCAATTTTTTTACGTGTGAAAACCATCATTTGCTCCTCTGATTGGCTAGAACTCAGTTGCGTACAAAAACTTACGACATAGCTTTTTGGCGAGTATTTCTCAGTATGTATAATTATAATAAATGGTATTTTTTTACCATAAGATATAAATATGCCTCGTTTGTTGACTGTGGTGTTAACCTGAGTTCTGTTAACTTTGTGATAATATCTGTTTTAAACACGTGTTCATACACAAACCATCATTCAATGATGGCAATAATTTTATTCCAATTTATTGTCACAGCAGGGAATTCACAGATGCAAAAATTACCATGTATAATATATTAAAATATATGTTATTCAGCAAAATATATTTCAATTTAGACTCTAGTTGTTTTCCGGTTGATTTTATTTCATAAAATAAAAGATCAAATTTTCATTTTTTAAATTAAATTGTGTTTTTAACTGAGTGGTTATCACCAGGGGCCTGGGGGTTGTCCAGTCCCTGGGTGGGGGGGGGGGGGGGGGAGGGGGGTTGGGGTTGGGTTCAGGGCGGCCCCGGGTTTTCCGGGGGGGAGGTGCCGGGGAAAAAGAAAAAAAATTGTTGGGCAAATGAAAACAACAAATAAAAAAAAAAGGCAAAAGGAGGAAAACAATATAAAAAAAACCGTAAAAGGGGGAAAAAA